AACAACAACAACAGCAGCATAGTAATTTTATGAACTTTGATAAATGTAGATAGTTATAGAAAGGCTTCAGGCCTTTTGTTCAGAGGGTTGCTATGAGTTGTGCTCAACTCGAAGGCAATCAACAACAACAACAACAACAACATAATTATATTGTTCTCTCAACGTTCTGCTGATCACCTTTCTTGGAAATGGGAACAAATATGGAATTTTTCCAGTCAGTTGGCCAGGTAGCCAAATTCCCTGACAGACTGAGAGTAAGCTCTGGGGGTGCAGCCTGTAGTGAGCTGTGCTGATAACCAAAAGGTTCATGATCTCCAGCAGTTTAAATCCACTTACAGCTCCAAAGAAGACAGATGGGGGAGGGGGTCTTCTCCCGTTATGATTTAGAGGTCCAGAAAACTAATGGAGAATCAGTCACTATGTGTTACGACAGACTTGAAGGCAGTATACAGGAGAGAGATGTGAGAAGAAACTCAAAACGCAAAAAAACACCAAGCTTAAAGGTCTGATAAGAGACAGGCAGAGTCCCCTAATATCAGTCACCCATCAAGTATGGAATGGAAATCATGCTTGTGAGACAACTTTCAAACAACAGAAAGGCCTACAGAACCAGGGAAAAGCACTCCTTACTTAGGTCAAAAACATACAAGCCCAACCAGACAGCATTAGTCCATGGATAAAGCTCAGAAAACAGGAATGAATATAGAAAAGAACAAATGGAAACAAAACCAATAGTACAAAGTGACAACATCACTGTTACAATATGAGGACTGTAGTCAATGTCATTAAACACATGCACAAACTGTTAAGTGGAAAACCAATTGGCTCTGTAAGCTTTTATTCAAATCACAATTGGAAAGTTAATAAAAATGATGTATTTATCTTTAAAGGAGTGTACTAATAAGAACTCAGAGGGTAAGGTTGGTGACTCATATCCAACCTAGAGTTGCCCTGCGTGACAAGCATATAGCTAAGAAAACACTAAAGAGCAGTTCATCTCTGTAATAAATAAGTCATCATCAGACACAGGTTGACAGCAAAGATTTTAGGTTTTAAAAGCATTTATCAAGAGAAACAAAACGTTTGTTACACAAAACTTTGTACATGAATGTTCACAGCAGTTTTATTTGTAACAGACAAAACCTAAAAGTAATCCAAATGTCCATCATAAAGTGAATAATAAAAGCTATCGGAGGTGCTTATATGTGAGAGTATACAATTATATGCCAAATTATGGTATATTCCTGAGTAGAAAATTGTACCCAGCAACAAAAAGAAACATACTATTAATAGACACAACCTCAAAATTATGATAAAAGAAATTAATCAAGACTTCTTGATACTGGGGAAGACCAGCACATATGGACGTCTCCAGGGATTCACTAGGTCTACAGGTGCTGAAGAAACAAAGACTTTCCTCCACAATCATCAGTCTGAGTCTTGCACTAGACAAAGCACCCTGCACCTGGACTTCTAGCCTCCTATACTGTAAAAGGGAGCTCTGTTGGCCTGGTGGGTAAGGAACTGTGCTGCCAACTCAAAGACACCTGGTTCAAATCCACCACTTCCTTCCCAGGAAAAAGATGGGGCTATCCCCCATGTGACCGTATCTGCACATAAAAACAAATATTGTAAGAGGAAAAATGTCTCTTTATTAAACGCATCCACTTGTATGTGTTAAAGCAGCAGTAGATAACAAAGATAGTGTGTCTGTATAAATATCCTCCCTCAAAAATTTTTTTTTGGTTTGGTTTGTTTTTTTTTTGGCACGCAGCCTGTTGTTATAGTGGACCCTCCAATGGCTTTTCTGAAGCAATAAATTACACAGGAGGAGACTGCCTATCTTTCTCCTGAAGAGCAGTTCCAGAATTTGAACTACATACCTTTGGCTTAGTAATGCAATTCCATACCCATAAGAATGGAAAATCTCCTCCCATGCTATTAATTGCCTTTGAAAATCCACTAGAAGGCCAATTCTATGGGTCAATCCCAACTCAATGGTACACAACAATACACAAGCCACCAGGGCTCCAAACAACCTAGTACTAGTGAAATCTATCCATGTTCATACATGTTGCTCCAAGTAATTAAAAAAAATTAATTAAGAAACATTATGTGATTTAATAGAGCACACAAACTGCTAGGCAGTGACAAAAAAAAAAACAAACCAGCAACTGGACAGTGGAATGTGGGGACATGAATGGAGATAAGAACGGATTAGGAGAAAAAAAAATTGCAAAGGGGCACAAAGAACTAGGGGAGATGAAAATACCATCCCAATTGTTTCACAAGTACATGACTACATCAAAGTCAATTATATAGTGTACTTTAAATAGGTAAGCTACTGTACTTCAATTATATCTCAATAAAGATGATAAAAAATGGGCTTTAGTGGGAATCAACAGTGCCCAAGAGTCAAAACCATCCCATCCAATGACAACAATTTTTTTTAGAAAGGTTAACAAAATCATTCCAGTTCTACTTGATTGTTCTCTTAGGAAACTGTCCTCAAAGGGATTTCTATACTATAAATG